TACAACATGGAGGAGATGCCAATCCACACAAGGTACAACATGGAGGAGATGACAATCCATACAAGGTACACAGATGCACATGCACATTCACACAAACAACATACTATGGGCAATTCAGAAACCCCACATTTTTGTCTTTGGACTACAGAAGGAAACCTGTCTGACTGAGATAAAATGAATAATAATGTGCAGGCCCGAGAACTTTGATAGAAAACTCAATGCTTTCCATCAAAGCAGAAATCAGTCTCCGTTTGAAGCGTTACAATATAGTCAAAACAAAACAAAATATATGATTCCGGTGGAAAATAGACTAGCTTTATAGCAAGCAAAAACATGTAGCATGAAAAAGATTATATTCTGCATTACTGGAGACATTATTCGGATTTTATCATTCATTGTACAATGTATATTATACAAGTGAAAAATGTGAGAAACCTGGTTAGTAGCTGATTGTCCAACAAACTTTGAGATACATGAAATTCAGCCAGAAAAAAATGGAACCATAAGAAAAGTCCATTCAAAATCAAATACAGTATTCTGCAGAATTCAAATTAAAAAAACACTGATATTGAAAACAGTGAGCCAAACCGTAAACCATCAAAATAACTTGCCAACTGGGATTGGCAGGGGAGGATACTTGCCAACTGGAGGGGGCGTTTGGGGGTCGGAAAAAATGGTAAAATGTCTGCTCATGTCCTCTCTGCATTTTGCATGGTTTGGGTGAATGATGACCCATGAAATTTGCATCTTATGTCTGTGAGATGGTCATAAGTGTCAAAAAGTATGAAACTTACGGGTAGAAACTTCGCACCTAAGTATCTATGATTCTTTTGACAGCCTTTGGTATCTGATGGTATCTGATATTACAAGGCACAACCATAACAATACTATGTGTCTGTAGAATGCAGTACGTTGTTTAAATAATTTTTTTAAAAATCACTGTAATTGTGGACTAAAGGTGCAGAAGGAGAGCTAAAAAAGAATGATTAACATATGCAAGTGAACAATATTAAACACTGAACATTAATAAATAACCTTTACAAAGATACAGATATGAGAGCAAATGATACGGAAGAACACTCAGTTGCAAAATAAATACTGTTTTCTTTACACTGTATTAATAGACAATACTCCTTTCTGTAGAGTAGTACAGTAATACAGTGCACGATGCAGGCTGTTCTAGCAGCATCCCACTTTTTACGGTTGGAAAAGAGACAAGAAAACCAGAGCGACAAACTAAGCGAGGGTGGGCAGTGGCTATGGTAGAGTTTTATTCTGCTCTGTGTTTGTCTATATAGCCAGCTGTCCTTTCCACCCTTAGGTCAGACAGGTGCATCCATCACAGCTGGACTCTGCCCAGCACACGCCCTTCATAACCTCATTCTTCAAAGCTGTACGAGTAAACAAGGGAGACTTGCAGTCACTGCTGCAGTTTTATTCTGGTTTAATCTGATTCAGGCCACTAATATGTGCTACAGAGTACTTCCAGCTGTACTACATCAACCAAGATTTATAAATCCAGATATTTGAAAGAAGTTCTCTGCTGCATAAGTTGCTTTGCCATCTATGACCAAAGATCAGGAATATGAACCTTTAAACTCAACGTAACATTCGCTGGTTCCTCACCCATGCTATCAGTTGATTATGCAGAAGTAGTATGCATTTCTCTCCTGTAATTACATGATGGACTTGCCCAGTCAGTCACACATGAAACATATCACTCATAATGGAGATGAAACAACAGGGTTGCTGCTGTTAGATGTCCTTATGGCCCAGATTACAGATTACTGCTTATTCATTACTTTGATGGCAGCAACAGTATTGAAAATATTTTAATGTGAGAACCTTTTCACGTTTATCATTATTTGAATTGGA